TTTGAAAAAGATAATTTAGTTGAACTCATAATGACTTAGGGATTCCTTCCTTGACCTAATAAAAGCTTTGCAACAATGGAGGACATTGATTTAGAATTGTTTGTTTAAGGTGATATTTTCGTTTGGGAGATTGGTTACAATATATTTTAACAACATATATTTAGTAAGACTTTAACAGAGTCATAACATGGCATAATGTTACATATTAAACTTTTAGTTATTTGTTCCATTCAATTACTTAATGGGGTGATTTGTCTCCATTTTGTATTGAAGGTAACTGAATTTGTCAACTATAGTTAAAAGTTGAATTTGAGTACTCTACCTTAACACATCAATAAGAATATAAAATAATCAAGATTAAAGATAAAGAGAAAGATAAATAGTGTAACTGCAAGTTTAGTGGACATAATCGAAGAAATGGATGTCCATAACCAAATTAAAATTAGCAATCACTTGGCTTAAATATTTCATGCGTAGTTATCTGTAACCAGAGGGATGCAAATGGATATTTCCTGGAAGAGAAACATGATTTAGAAAGATCACTTGGAGACACTTTTATGTTCACTAGAAGTATATAAAAAAAAAACTCACATTATTAACTGAGTAGCTACTAATTAATTCGATAAAAGAAAATAATTTAAAAAAAAATTTCATAAAGTTGATGAATATTCTAACTAGAATGAAGATTCTTTGTTATAAGGACATGCATCTGTAAGAAAATTTAGATATTTTTATTTTATGTCTCAAGGAGAACATAACTAAATCATGATTGAAGATTTAGATGGTATACCTGCAAATTTCACCAAAGAAATTGTAGAAGGCACAAACCCTGACTGATAACCAAATTAATTAGCTAAGCCAAGAAAATTAGAAGTAGTAGCGAATCAGTTCAATTGTAGGGCTAATTCTGTGAGATGATATCAAGTGAGCCGGCTAAGGAGAAGAGGAGAGAACTTGTACAAATTATAGTTGGAAATTTCCTGGAAGATGCTTGGCAAATGCTAGGGAATGAATATGCCAAGACAATAAGAAAGGTGCACAATTACTTTATCATAAAGTCATCGA